TTAGGACAGTCACATCTAAACCTCCCTCCAGTTGTAGGACAACAAGTTCCACCATTATGACAAGGATGACTGTCACAAGGATTTATTTCTAATGGAAGATAAAGCACAAAACTCTCATTAATACGAAGGTAAATCTCTTATAGTTTTAGAAAATTGTAAACGTATTTATAAAGCCATTGTTCTTGTGTTCTTCGCAAAATCATTAAAAACACAGTTCCTAGTGGGATTTGAAGAAAATTATTTGTAATTTCCAATGATTATAATAATTACCAACCTATATCACATGTTTTACCCTTGAAACCTTTAGGACAGTCACAACTAAACTTTCCTCCAGTTGTAGGACAACAAGTTCCACCATTATGACAAGGATTACTGTCACAAGGATTTATTTCTAATGGAAGATAAAGCACAAAACTCACATTATAACCAAATTAAATCTCTTATAATTTTAAAAAATTGTAAACGTTTTTAAAAAGCCATTGTTCTCGAGTACTTGCAAAGTTATTAGAAAACTCAGTCGTTAGTAGAATTTCAATAAAGTTTTTTGTTATTTCCAATGATAATAATTATAACAAACCTATATCACATGTTTTACCCTTGAAACCTCTAGGACAGTCACAGCTAAACTTCCCTCCAGTTGTAGGACAACAAGTTCCACCATTATGACAAGGATGACTGTCACAAGGATTTATTTCTAATGGAAGATAAAGCACACAACTCTCATTAAGACGAAGGTAAATCTCTTCTAGTTTTAGAAAATTGTAAACGTATTTAAAAAGCCATTGTTCTTGTGTTCTTCGCAAAATCATTAAAAACACAGTTCCTAGTGGGATTTTGAAGAAAATTATTTGTAATTTCCAATGATTATAATAATTACCAACCTATATCACATGTTTTACCCTTGAAACCTTTAGGACAGTCACAACTAAACTTCCCTCCAGTTGTAGGACAACAAGTTCCACCATTATGACAAAGATGACTGTCACAAGGATTTATTTCTAATGGAAGATAAAGCACAAAACTCTCATTAATACGAAGGTAAATCTCTTCTAGTTTTAGAAAATTGTAAACGTATTTAAAAAGCCATTGTTCTTGTGTTCTTCGCAAAATCATTAAAAACACAGTTCCTAGTGGGATTTAAAGAAAATTATTTGTAATTTCCAATGATTATAATAATTACCAACCTATATCACATGTTTTACCCTTGAAACCTTTAGGACAGTCACAACTAAACTTCCCTCCAGTTGTAGGACAACAAGTTCCACCATTATGACAAGGATTACTGTCACAAGGATTTATTTCTAATGGAAGATAAAGCACAAAACTCACATTAAAACCAAATTAAATCTCTTATAATTTTAAAAAATTGTAAACGTTTTTAAAAAGCCATTGTTCTCGAGTACTTGCAAAGTTATTAGAAAACACAGTCGTTAGTAGAATTTCAAGAAAGTTTTTTGTTATGCACATTACTGCAGTCTTTGTTTAAGGATTTAAAAAAAATTATTTGTGATTTCCAATGATTATAATATTTACAAACCTGTTTCACATTTATCACCTTCGAAACCTCTAGGACAGTCACAGTAATACTCAGTTCCAGATGTAGGACAAGTTCCACCATTATGACAAGGATGACTGTCACAAGGATTTAATTCTAATGAAAAATATATGACAAAACTCTCAATAAAACTAAGGCAAGTCTCATAGTTTTAGATCATTGTCAACTCTTTGAAACATCGTTCAAAAATTCTTTGCCAACTCATTAGAAGACACAGTTTATTGTAAAATTTTAAGAAAATTATTTGTGATTTCCAATGATTATAATATTTACAAACCTGTTTGACATTTATCACCTTCGAAACCTCTAGGACAGTCACAGTAATACTCCATTCCAGATGTAGGACAACAAGTTCCACCATTATGACAAGGATGACTGTCACAAGGATTTAATTCTAATGAAAAATATATGACAAAACTCACAATAAATCTAAGGCAAGTCTCATAGTTTTAGATCATTGTCAACTCTTTGAAAAAGCCATCGTTCAAAAATTCTTTGCCAACTCATTAGGAGACACAGTTTATTGTAAAATTTTAAGAAAATTATTTGTGATTTCCAATGATTATAATATTTACACACCTGTTTGACATTTATCACCTTCGAAACCTTTAGGACAGTCACAGTAATACTCAGTTCCAGATGTAGGACAACAAGTTCCACCATTATAACAAGGATGACTGTCACAAGGATTTAATTCTAATGAAAAAAATGAAAAAACTCACAATAAAACTAAGGCAAGTCTCACAGTTTTAGATCATTGTAAATGTTATTAAAAAGCCATTGTTCACAAATTATTTGCGAACTCATTAGAAGACACAGTTAATGGTAAAATTTTAAGAAAATTATTTGTGATTTCCAATGATTATAATATTTACAAACCTGTTTGACATTTATCACCTTCGAAACCTTTAGGACAGTCACAGTAATACTCCATTCCAGATGTAGGACAACAAGTTCCACCATTATGACAAGGATGACTGTCACAAGGATTTAATTCTAATGAAAAAAAATGACAAGGATTTAATTCTAATGAAAAATATATGACAAAACTCACAAAAAAACTAAGGCAAGTCTCATAGTTTTAGATCATTGTCAACTCTTTGAAAAAGCCATCGTTCAAAAATTCTTTGCCAACTCATTAGAAGACACAGTTTATTGTAAAATTTTAAGAAAATTATTTGTGATTTCCAATGATTATAATATTTACACACCTGTTTGACATTTATCACCTTCGAAACCTTTAGGACAGTCACAGTAATACTC